TTACACTAAACCCCACCGGGCATCCTAAGTACTTTGTGGACTCATCAATGTCGAGGTCCTTAATCCGTGGTCCATCTATCCTCAATTCCGCATCGAGCCTTTTCCTCCTTACTATCGCTAGCGCAGCACATTTAGCCGGTTTAACCGTTTGTATCCGGTAATGTCCGTTTTCTTCAGCTTATCCTGGACAGCATTCACTGTTTGATGGAGTTCTTTCCTGCTGTTTGTCATTATTGCGATGTCGTCAGCATACACAAGAATGGGATTGGGACTGGTTGAGGCAGCCGCTGCAGCTCTAATTGAGGCATCAATCACCGAGTTGAAAAGTGACCCGCTTAAGGGGCATCCCTGGCGTATACCCCTTGTTATCGTTAAGGGGTTGGCCGGCCCCTATGCCGCCAGAACTACGGTGAATGTGTTAATATAAATATCTTCCGCAATTCTAATGAACCCTTCCCCAGCCCTTTCTCCATCCCCCATCGCTTTCAGGGCATCTGGGATCGCTCTATGGGGCACTGAGCCAAAGGCGTATTTTAGGTCGAGGAGTGGTATGGCTAGATCGCGCTTGACCACCTTTGCCCGATCTCTCTGACGCTGCAGCGCGTAATTATGCTCCAGTACCCCATCGAATGTTCGGAATCCCTTCTGCGCTGGAGAGAGCACTTCATTCTGCTCCAACCAGGCGCCCAGTCGTCTCGCCCGGAGACCGGTGTAAATTTTGTATATTGTGGGCGCCAGGGTGATTGGCCACCAGTTAGCTAAGTCTGTTCTGTCTACTCCTTTAAATAACAGAATTGTGCGTGACTGGCGCCATGCATCAGGAATTTTGTCCTTGAAGCGTCTTTAAGACTATCTGAAGACATAGTTTAATCAAGAAACTGCAGAAAACTTTTAGAAAATGCAGAAGTGTACAGTTAATACAAACAAGACGGAATACAGCAGAATCAATAGTGGGAAAAATATAGGGTAATTAAAACAAGATGAGCAATTTCCGTATAAACAGTGTTAAGCGTGAGAAAATTAATAATAGCTACGTAGTTCAAAGAATAAAGAATTGCGATGTAAATGCGAGTGTATCCAATGAGAGCGGAGATGACATTCGGGAGATGGCACGCCCGCGGAGGAAAGTTGTTTTTATAGTGGAAATGGAATGAAATGTCGAACAATAGCCACGCTTGTATGAGTTGCTTCTCAAAGGAAAGTAACAATGAGGGGACATTTTGTTTGCTCAAAATAATGTAGGAATATCAAGTTATGCTTTTAATTTTTAAGATAGATAAATTTGTAATTGTGGAATTAATTTGGCCAAAGAATGCAAAGAAAGAGGAGGGTTTATTTAATAGAATATGAATATCCTTGTTTATAATTACATTAATTCTAAAAAGGGTATATTATTAAATCGTTGCTATTGTGGCGACAAAAAAAGTAAACAGGAGAATATTATGTATGAATGTATGTATGTATTTACAGCACTGCATAAACGTATTTGATCGCCATATTGTAAGTATATTTATTTCAGACGATAACATGACAATTCCGAGTCCATATTAAAATAGTAATCCCGTGTACGTAAATATTTTGTCATCGTGAGTCCGTACGGACGATCTATCGTATCCCCACCTATACATTTTTTCCAGATAGTGAAAATTCATACGTCATATAGGATAGTAGGATAATTAAATAAATAAAAGGAAGAAGAGGGTGTTTATAATATTCATACAAATAGAGGCCGTGGATAAATTCTTAATATATCGGCATATCTAGTGCGGCGAATATATTAATGCTATTATTATTATTATTATTA